ACGCGAAGCCGTGGCGAAGCTGCTTCTGGAGCGAGACGATGTGGAGGCGGACTCGAAGGATAATGATGGCCGGACACCACTATCATTTGCAGCTGGAGGTGGACATCAAGCGATGGTGAAGCTATTGGTTGAGCGCGATGATGTGGAGGCAGATTTGAAGAATAAGTACGATCGGACACCACTGTCGTGTGCTGCTTTGAATGGATATGAAGCGGTGGTGAAACTGCTACTGGACCGAGACGATGTAAAGGCGGACTCGAAGGATAATTATGGCCGGACACCACTGTCATTTGCAGCTGGGGGTGGACATCAAGCGGTGGTAAAGCTACTGGTTGAGCGAGATGATGTGGACGCAGACTCGACGAATAAGTACGGTCGGACACCACTGTCTTATGCGGCTGGTTCATTGTCTTTTGCAACCGAGTATGACCGTGAAGCGGTGGTGAAGCTACTGGTTGAGCGAGATGACGTGGAGGTGGACTCGATGGACAATAATCATCGGACACCACTAATATGGGCAGCTCGGTATGGAAATGAGGCGATGGTGGAGCTTCTCAACTCCCTGTTATAAATACCCAGCAGAAATCCAAGCAAATATTCGAGAGGATGATCAGGTTCCAGAATAGCAGGAGATGATACCTGACGTAACGTTCCAAGTGAGAAGCGATGTAGGCTCATGGCTTAGTAGGGAGACACAACCACTCTGAGGATATTGCTAATCTGCTGAGTTCTCTTACCGTCATACCACGTTTGAGGCAATATTGGCATCCACGGTGCTCCTAGGAGCCGGTGCCCATAAGGCTGACTCGCGAAGAGATAATTGTGACCATGCATTCAAAGGCTGGCATGACCGCTTCAGCCCACAACATTTACATGTCATAATTGTCCTTGTGGACGATTTAAGATTTTAAGCAGGGATTTCTGACGCTTCCAACGAATGTGGAAATATACTTGTGATAAAATATGTAGTTCCTGAAGGAGCTATTATCACCAGTGATCCACTGAATATAAGATACACTCAATAACCCTCAACACCGCGTCTTGATCACCATCAGCATCATCGAATGGACTACCAATAGCCTGCTGAAAAACCTTCAGATTTTAGTCAAAAATCTGACTATGTTGATTGACTTTCATGGTGAAAATGCAACGGAGTACATAACCACCTGCGTTGGTATATTATTCTATAAAAGACACCAAGTATTGATAGAGGTGGTATTGCCCGGATCCTGGACTTTCTCTTACGAGAAACATATATATATATGGATGCTCCAAACGGCTCGCAAGACCAGCGAAAAGGAGATCAGGGATGAAAAGGAGACCAGCAGCCCAGTGAATTGTTAATCCTTAGTGAAAGTCAATTCACAGGAGCCTTCTGATCATTCTCCTTCTCCTTCATTGGTAAATGGAACAGCTCAGCTTCAGATGCCCTTTCTGACTACCGCAGCTATGCCCTTCGCAATTGGAAGCAGAAACAAGACATACCTTGGCGACCGAGCCCTTTCAACCTATTTTGAATGTTCTAGCAAACCTCGAACGTGACGATCCCAGTTCGCCTTTCCTGCGGCTCGACATCCTGTGTTTCCAAGCATATCAATGGCCAGTAGGTAGGGCAGAGCAATCAGACCTTGAAGGAGGCTAGCACACACCTGCTTAAAGAGAGGGACGGTGTTCAGCTTCGCCACGACAAGCAGCTGTCTCGGCTGCGCTTCTTTGAGCAGGCACTGGAATCATCTCGGGGCCGACTGATTGGGGTACTCGGGGAATGGAACCACCCTTCCAGACTCAATCTGGCAGGGCTGCCAGACATGGCAAGAGAAGGTTGAAAGATTGTATATTCATGACTGTGCTATGTCTTACTTTCCCAACTTGGATAATACAACGAGTTGAAATTGGAAGGGAATTACCGCATGTACAGAAGCTTAAAAACTTTCCGAGTGATTACAGTAAAAAAGCATAGAATATCCTTTGTGGAATGGATTTACGAATGATCCCGTATGTTCTGGTACAATCTCAGTTGTAAATCATGGTACGTATGGGGTGACCTTGAATGGCTACTGATGTTTGACTGAAGACGTATGCGTACACAGCCTTATGCTAACTTTACCATTGTTTCGAGTGGCGCCACAGGCTACCAGACAGGCGAGAAAAGACTCAGGAATATACATGAAGCATGGTAAAATTGGAAATACTATTGGGGGGACATCTGCACGCAAGGAAGTTACCTAACAGGAATATCCTGTATAGCTAGGGAAATACAATGGATGTACTAGGCGATTGGCGCAACGGAATCAAAAAGGGGAACTACCCAAAAATGATGAGATCAAAAGAGTGTTGATTCCTGTCTCCTATCTACTGGGATCGAGGGGGTTAAAATAGCCTCGAGAATACCTGGTATCGAATCCTCTAGAATCCCAGAGGTACCGTTTGGGTCAATACGATGCTGATCACCATTTTCCTGACACACCCCCTCAGCAAGATCCTACTGTATGGGGATTTTGCTGTACAAATGAATGGACGAGCTCAATTGAACTCTTCAACAAGATGACCAATCTCTTCCATACCAAGCAACTTCACAAATTCAACGTGCTTCTGGCGAGGAAGGAGCTTCGTAAGACCATCTGCGACCATCTCAGAAGTCTTTACCCATTCGATAGGGATTCGTCCAGCTTGTACCTCTTGACGTAGCCAATGCTGGTGAATGTCAATGTGTCGCAGCTCGGTGTGCAATTGAGGCAATTCCTTCGTCAAAAGCCCTATAGTTTGCTGATTATCACATTGCAAAGCGACAGGGTGACCAGGATTGAACTTAATAGCGTCGAAAAGGCGCTTCCACGTGAAAAGAGATTTGCCTGCTTCTGACAAAGCCAATAATTCTGCTTCAGTAGTGCTTGTGGTAACAGTCTTCTGTTTCGAGGCCTTCCAATCGACAGGTCCTCCAAATATCATACAGATATATCCAGCAGATGATTTGCGATCTGGATTATCACCGAATGATGCATCACTGAAGAATTGAACGGATGGTTCAGGAGGGATTGACTGCTTCTTGAAGCAAATGGCCCTCATCCTCGTATGATAGAGAAAGACGATGACAGAATTGATAGCATGAATATGCTCTGGCGAAGGATTTGCAAGGAATTGAGCAAGATGGGCAGTGGCCTTGGCCGCATCTGGGCGAGTGACAATTGCCGGGAATTGGGTAGATCCAACCTTGCTCATGTATTCGTGTTTTTGGGCATCCGAGGCAGTGCCGTTATACGGTTTCAATGTGGCAATGGAGACTGGAGGAGTATCAATGCGTCGTTCCTGGGTCAAATGATATCGGTGCGCCATTGCTGAGATATAAGCATCCTGGCATAGCCAGATTATGCCTTTTTGGCGGTCCCGAAGGATACGAATGCCTAAAAACCACTGTGCTTCACCCATAGAACGCAGCTCCCAGGCATCGCTGAGGCCTTTGGCAACATCATCTGCCTCCTCTCGTGCATCTCGTGGGCTCACAATAAGAATGTCATCAACATAAAATACGACAATAATGCTATTCCGGACGAACATGCAGAGATCTTCCTGCACTACCTTGAATCCGAGTGCAGTCAAAACCCTTGATGCTTCTCTCTGCCACATCCTTGGCGATTTGCGAAGGCCATACAGGGCCCTCTGAAGCTTCCAACACCTTCTTCCTTTAGGAAACATACCAGGTGGGAGCTCAACATAGACCTCCTCGTCATCCTCAAGCTTGCCGTTGAGAAATGCATTAACAGCATCATACTGACGAATATCTAGGTCAAAATTCGCGGCAAAGGCAAAGATAGCCCGCGCGGTTCGCACTGCTAGTGTAGCAGAATACTTTTCCTCGGTCGACAACTTCTGGAGATCTCCGCGGACAAGATTCTGGCCTTATACTTGACCAAGTATCCGTCACTGTCAAATTTGTAGGTAAAGACCCACGTCAACGGAAGGATTTGAAGTCCCTTGTCATTCGGTTTCTGCACTTCTCTAAAGGTCGATTTCGATTCAAGGCCTTTGACTTCCACTGAGGCAGCGTGTATAAATCCATCACGATGTGGGTGCCTCAACATCTCAGACCAGGTTTTTGGTTCAGGGGGAAGATCCTCTCGGTGGGGTTTCTGCTGAGTCAGACCCGCAGTAAAGGCCACAAGGACACCATCATGAATCTCATCCTCTTCAATTAACTCAGTTGGCTCAACTGTTTCCTCGATTGCTGCGAAATGAGCCCTTTTTCTCTTTCCTTCGATGATATTGCTTCTTGAGAGAGATGAGTCGATGTTTCTAGGTGCCACTTCTCCTCGTAGGCGATATCCTGGAGGATTCGATGGCGGGGTGCTGCTCAATTCGGTATGAAGCTGCTGTGCAGGATCGCTTGTATGATGCCCCGCCCCCTCAGGTTCATGACGAATAGGCCGAGATTCGGTGGGAAATGCACCAGGAATTTCATTGGGTGAAGCAGCTGGAGTAGGCGTTGGCAAAGGTGTTATCATAGGAGGTGGTGTTCTCTCCATGACACGTGTGCTATTATCGTGAATAGCTTGCTTCTTGGAATGTTCAGGTGCGGGAGTATTCTGTTCCACTGAATCCGCGAAAAATTCTTCATCTCTCGAGTGTCTTCGATTCGAGTCGTTTACCTCGGTATCCCAATATCCAACATCATGAATTGCTGGTGCGATCGGCACGGCAGTTTCAGAGGGATTATATTGTATATTCTCGTCAAAAACAACATCTCTGAACTCCCTGACTTGGTTCAATTGAGGAAGCCAGATCTTCCAAATATTCGATGCAACATATCCAACCAAATATCCAATCTCAGCGCGCGGCTCCATCTTATCAGATTTGGCAATTCCCTGGCGCATCACGTACGCTCTGCATCCATACAATCGGAGATTCGAGAGGTTTGGGCGCAGATCCTGCGAAGGGTCCCTGTGTTGCATAGCTTCAACCCATGGGATAATATACCTGCCGTCGGGCATCCTGGTAGGCTTGAATCAGCGATAAGGGCCCTCGCGGTGGTAATGATGATTCCTCCTGCCCTCTCGATAAATCCATTCTGTTCCGGCGTTCCAACCACGCTGAGTTCTACTGTCAGACCTTCTTGTCTGCAGTACTCCATGAATTCATTGCCTAAGGTAGGCTCTCTGTCGCTCTTGAACACGTTGATGTCCATCTTTAGTTGTGTACGGCAAATTGCAATGAAGGCTTGAATAGCCTGAATACAGCCGTTCTTCTTCTCGTGGGTTTGGGCCATATGCAACCGAATTCGTTCAATGTAAAGGTGTGAAAACCACTGATGGCCGTTATAACCATCCTTGATATGTACCAAGTCGAAGTGAATGCGTCCGAATTTGCCATGAATATACCCTCTGTCAGCCGGCCGTCGTGAGATTTGTCGTTTTGCCTTAGAGGTTTGGCATGTCTCGCACACTTCGGGATTTGACAGGGCCGAATCGTCATTATCTGGCCGAATTTCAACGCCATCAACCATTTTGGCAAGCATCTTGATGCGTTTATCGTATAGGTGGCCAACCCGTCTATGCCATATTCGTGGGGTTGCCACTGAGACGAGCGGTTTGGCAGAGGTCTTAACGGTAGCAAATGCATAGGGAGGTTGTCCTTCATCTAGGAGATATAAGCCAAATCTCTCCGTGCACATAGCAACCGAAGTCCCCTGACGAGTGATGGCAGGAACCTCGCTATTGAAGAAGAATCCATTCTTCTTGATTTCTGATACGGAGATGACGTTGGTTTGGAATCCTGGGACATACCACACATCCTTGAGGTGTACCCAGATAGTTCCTCCACCTGGTTGGTTAACGCAAATTTTTGCAGTTCCTCGTCCTTGGGCAATTGCTTTGCCTGATCCCAGGACCACTTCGCGTTCCTCTTTGGTAAATGTAATGAATCGGTCTCGTTGGTTGCTGATATGAGTGTTGGCGCCTGAATCAATTATCCAGCAGGCAGCCAACGGGTGAGTCAAGGCGGTTTTGAATACGAATGGAGACACAGTGAAAAAGATGAGGGTCTCAGTGGATACATCATCCGCCTGGGTAAGGGCCAATTGGGCGGTTTTCTCTTGACCATTATCCTTCATAAATTTCCGGAGCTCCTTCTGCTTTTCAGCATTGAGCTTCTTGATGTTTTGTTCTACTCGCTTTGCAGCATCCTCATACGGTTTCCATCCAGGAGGCCTCTTAGAGGCGTTGATATGGAAACAATTCTTCCAATGATGACGAGAACTTCCGCAGACGCAATTGGAGCGAGGTTCTCGAGAATTGTGGGAGCCTTGAGCGGAATTCTGTCCTTCTTGGGGCTCATGCTCATTAAGAGTAGCAGCGAATGCGATGCTGCTAGAATTTCCTGGGGATTTGACAACACCCTTAGCATTTCGGTGATTCCGGTATGCTGCCAAGATATCTTGGAAGGAAATTCTGAAATCCTTATTCATAATATCTTTCCTCCAAAGGGATACAAATACCTCATCGAATGATTCAACGGCTTGGAGGAAATCTCGAATGGCATCTCGATCCTGAGGGTTTCCCTTATCGTCATGGTATGCAATGTCCGGGATATTCATTGCTTTACCCTCTTCATAGAGATTTGACCATGTTGCAAGCCATTTATCAATTGAGATTCTGCCAATTGGTCTTCTGACCAGATCTCTCCATGCGTTTCGAACGCTTTGGCGGCTAGTATCGCCCTTGGGCTCAAACTGCTGCTTCAAGCGGACCAGTTTTTCATGTGGAGTGACCTTGCCCTCGAGAATATGACGATGTTCGGGAGCAACATTGGCATCAATCAAGGCATCTACCTTGTTAATCTTCGTGCGAATCGATTCATTCCAGCTAGTTTCCTTATCGAATTCCGAGGTCAACCGCTGGTATCGCTTGTATTCCGCGTCTGATAATTGCGAGACATCAGTGGCATCCTCATTGATTTCACGAGGATGTGGATAGGAGTCGCGCGAATCTACTGGGGCCTTACGGACCTCATCCTCAGATAGATTCGGATTCATGTAATGCCATACATTCCCCTTCGTTGCTGCAGCTTCGACCTTAGCAATCCAGGTCCTCCACTGAGCATCCGAACGAAGACTAGTATCCCAGAGGGTCTCCGCTACTGCTTTGGATTCCGCAGACATGATGGAGATATCCTGGGGATAAAAGTAGGTCGGTGGCTGAGCGGATAGGAAAAATCGCTGGCAGGATAACAGAGGCAGATGAAGACGTAAATGAGTCTGATGATGCGTGCTATCCCGATTACCAACGAGCAACCGGGCTCATAACTAACAGGAATATCCTGTATAGCTAGGGAAATACAATGGATGTACTAGGCGATTGGCGCAACGGAATCAAAAAGGGGAACTACCCAAAAATGATGAGATTAAAAGAGTGTTGATTCCTGTCTCCTATCTACTGGGATCGAGGGGGTTAAAATAGCCTCGAGAATACCTGGTATCGAATCCTCTAGAATCCCAGAGGTACCGTTTGGGTCAATACGATGCTGATCACCATTTTCCTGACATTACCTTTCTTGTGCTTCCCCGCGCTACGTCTTGTATTCGGAGTCAACTATAGTTGTCTTGGATAATGATCTTTTGATTCCGAGATTCTGTTCAACTCTATGTATACGTGAGGCCCTGATCAAGATCCACCCAGGAGCTGCTGTGTCACTTGACCCGTATTTAACGAAAGCTCTTCTAAATTCGTACTTCACAGGAGAATTGTCGTTTATTGCGTGCATTTGTTTGTGTTTAGTCAATGTCCTCAGTGTTTCAATGCCGCGCTATTCATCACACTGAATTCTAGCCGGTATCCTCTCGTGATAATTTCGCGTGACACTAGTACTTCGTCATGTCCCAATTGTTTCATAGCGGCCCGGAAACGTCTTTCCAAATCCTCGTATCTATTCGAAAGGTCTTGCAATATCGGATCATCACTCAAACCGCGCCTCCAAGAAATCTCTTCCAGTAAAGGCTCACCCAGATTGGTGAAGGCCAAATCATCGCCCCAGGAATCAACAAGTCGTCAACAGGAACGCGGCTTTGATTCCCCGTGGTGGTGATAGCAGACCCCAGAAGCTACATCTGGTTTCCTGGGGGTGTCAGGGATATAGATGAAGCATGCGGAACGGATGGAGATATGATCCGCGCGGGACCCACTTAGTGTACATGGGTTCCCCTGAACGCGAGGAAGCTACCTTTCTTTTGCTTCCTCGCGCTACGTCTTGTATCTAGAGTCGACTATAGCTTTATTTAATATTGATTACTGATCTGAATACGCTGTCCTCATCTACGGATACGTGAGACCCTCACAAATCAATATGTTGGCCCTGGGAACCTCAACAGCATTTCTAGGACCTTTTTATCCCCTAGGAAATGCTCTTTAGCTCCTGGGGCTATTTCTAATTCTAGGAAAATGAGATCTACCCCTGGGATCTTCACTTTACGTTCCTGAGTAAATACGAAACTGGCTCTGGGAATACATTGACCAGATCTGGGAGCTGTGGAACCCTGGGAGCTTACTTTAGGGTCCTAGAGTCACTATCTTGCCTTCCGAGATCGCCGAAAGCCCTCACAAAAAACCTTCACCGGATCTGCGCACAATTCTGCGTCGTTCGGTCACTCCTAGAAGGCCAAATTGTCGCCCCAGGAATCAACAAGTCGTCAACGGAAACGCGGTTTTGATTCCCCGAGGTGATGGTACTAGACCCCAGAAGCTATGTCGGGTTTCCTGGGGGCTAGATGGCTCCTAGAAAAGGCTTATATGCTCAAGGAAACCATATCAAAGCCTCCAGGAGCAAGAGAACTCCCAGGACCAAGATGTGGGTTCCCATGGCTGATACTGTAGTCAACAGGAACATCAACTGGATCATTAAAGTCCTACAAGCTACGTACGATTTCCTGGTTATGTAATTCGTGGATGGCTCACATGTTTCCAGGGGCAGCCTTTTGGAGTCTCTACACATATAACGGGTGAAAATTTATAACCTACAGTATAACGATGCCTAGGTTCCAGTGTCCTGGAGGCTGGTGCAGATCAGGAACCATGCCGAACCATCGGAATTAATCCCGAAGTATGTATACGAAGAACCAAGTCGATTGGAAATCAGCTACGATCTTCTCGTTGTATATATATAGCTTCAGGTCTCCATCTGAATAAAAAAAATTTTAATCTTCCTTTGAACTACAACAAATATGTCCAACTAAGTTTGGAGACAGCAAAAATTCTGTATTGTATTACCTCTACTTCACGCTACATATTTAGGTTCAAATTAGTTACACGTTCCATTCTGTTACTGGAGCTTATCGCCTTGCATCGTCTGCTCCTGGGAACTTATCAGTCGGTGATCTGATTGGTCACATGTGGCTTCTACCAGTGTTGTCGTTCTTAAAGGTTTGGTTAGCTGTCGTCATCCCCGCAGGTTGTTAGCGGTAGTCGCGTGAACACCCTGCTCCTAGGAACACTGTTAGCCCTCGTCACTCTGCGGAACCGTCGTCTACCGCTCCCGACCGAGCATCGCAGCTACCTCAACCAGCCAGTCCCCCTCAACCTCCCGAACCGACCTCAACAGCTACCCCTCCCCTTCAACGCCAACCAACCCATGCTTCTGTCCTCCAGAAACCCACTACGTCCATACCGCGACCGAAACCTAGATCTCACCAATCCGTTCATCCTCCGAAACCTAGATCTCACCAATCCGTTCATCCTCCGAAACCTACACTCACAATCGAAGATCTTCACCGCCGCTTTCATAATAAGCCGTCACCATTTGAGCTTGAGAAAAGAAAAAAGAAACGTTCGAAAAGCATTGGGACATCAGCTGTTACGCATTCACTAGGTTCGTCTCCGGCTCAGCGCCATTGTAGTATTAACTCATGAACTCTGCTTATTTTCCAAAGCCGCACACAAAACCGAGGCAAACGTTTGCGAAATGCCCCATCGGTTAAATCGGTTCAGGAGATCAATCACACGGTGCAAGTGGCTGACGTTGGCGAAAGTAGCGTCGCTCAAATCTCGACCCTGATGGTTATGGTGGCCTGCAAAACTCCCTACTAGTTGGATCTCGGGCGCGTCAAATGCGTTGGTGTCAATCGCATGCCGACCGCCAACGCGAGTAAAACAGAACCACGCCAGAGCTGCGCTGAAAAGAGCACGAGGTACGTGGATTGAAGGCTCTGATGACACGCGCATTCGTTCAAGGTTTTGCTGGATTAGTAGTGCATGTACCAAGCACCTACTCGCATCCAGGGAGCTAGCCCATGAACGGATAAGAGACGCGCTGGAGCTAGCAACTTCCTGGCCATCACGGCCGATGGCCTGCTCCAGCAGGTCTATATCAGCATAGATGCCAATGAAAACCGAGTGCCACAGAACCGGTAAACTAAAAGGGTCGTCCTCGGAATCTACGGGAAAGTGGTTGGTGTAGATTCTCCACCACCGCATGAGCATGCTTGACAATCGTCTAGATTCATGCTCATCGAAAACATTTGACCGCCGAGACTCAATTGCATGTGCATTTATACTTTCCAGGACTCCATATGCTGAGAACTTGGAGTGTGCGACGGCTGTCTGGAGCGGGTCCTCCGGAATAGCAAGTGATAAGTATTGGGTTGGCGTTTTCTTGTAGAGCTCTGCCCATCGGGACGCAGTCGATGCGGTGAACAATGCGTCAGAAGCTACACGTGGATACTGGCTGAATCGATGTTTACGGAGAGGCTCGTGGTGCAACAGACTGGCGAGCTCCGCATCGTGGATATTAAAGGCAATCTCTACCCGCCCTCGCTGTTCATGATCAATCCACCGACTCCACTGCCCGTTCAGATCGACTCTGGTTGGGTCCAAGTTCTGAAGATCACACGGTACTGGAAGCGCGGTTTTTGCAGACTCCCGGGCCCACGCCATTGCTGTTCCATGTAGCACGTCTGCCAGAACGAGGGATTTAGGACGCCCCGATAGAATCGCAAACGTCTGACCAAGAACGGCAGCCTGTACCATTGACAAGGCATCAGAGGGGCTATTTGACAAGATTGCCTCCCAGGATGCCAGAATCGCTTTGTTCAATCTCTCGAATAGACGGACCCCTTGCGCAACAGCAGAGGCGGATCCCACGAACAGGCTGCCGACCGAGCAAATCGAGATGAAAAGTAAAGAGTTCTCCGGGGTGGGTCTGAACGAGGGCAAATGCACGATAGGCAGGAGGGAGTTGAAGCGGCGGAAGAAGAGGTTCGCGAAAAGGTTTAGTTGGTCAGACGGTGGGAGATTCTCATAGTGCATGCGAGGCTGGAGCCTTTGTGACAGGCCTGCCCGGTAATTCTCGTCAGCCGCGACGATTCCCTGGCCCAAGGAGCTCCCGCGGTTGGTAAATGCTGACTGCAAGTTCCACGCGCCTTCCTCGACGGTTAGCCGACTGAACCATTTTTGCCTTACGTGGTCGGCCGGTTGCTGTTGAGGATCTGTCGGTATTGCCCCTGTAAGTATTGGCGTAGACGTACCAAAGGGGTACACATCGCCCGTACCCGCTGAGAGAGGGCGCGGAGGTAGCTGCGCCCACTCTGATACAGCCGATGATAATGTAAAGTCCAATGCATCCACGTCCAACTCAGTCCCCAGCAACCAAGAGCTTGGATCGATAGTGAGGACGGGGTCGTGGAGTGACTGGGGATCTATCGACGGGAGCTCATCCACACCGAGAGAATGGCTAGATATTCCAGACATGTTGGCGGAGCAGTCTAGGATCAACGGCGGGGCGTTGTGTGTTTCCTGGGATAGAGGGGTGACCATCGTAGTTTCCGGGACCGGGTGCTCTGGCGTCGAGACCGAGGCATGTCGATGGCTCTTCTCATGTCGTCGCAGCACATCACTGAGAGTAGCACGTCAGGCTGATAGTCTACTGAGGATTACGGCTACACTAACCTACGCGAATACAGCTTTCGGCAGATCGAACAGGTGTAGGGGCGTTCTTTGGTGTGGCTGCGAAGATGGCGCGTGAGATGCTCCGCCTTGGAGAAGGTCTTGTTACAAGACTGGCAGGTCCGTTTGTGTACAGCACTCATTCTTTCTCTTGTCATTGAGGTGTAGCTGGCGTGGAATATCCAGATATCCAGAGAGATGGTAGTCAACCGGCAAGTCGAGCCGGATCCCACCGTATGAGAGGAGACCCCGCGTTTATCACGTGACCAGTACTCCACAGCAACTCCAACACTTTCAAGTGGGAACTGCGGAGGTTCGGAGGAACAAAGGGGTCCGTCCTTTGAAGATTGAGTAAGCAGCGATCACCCCGCAAAATTTACGACTGCGGGGTGCGGTCATGCTTGGAGACGCCAACTACCATTTAAGCTGGGACCATGAGCCCAACCATGACTGCAGAGTACGCTGAACTGGCATCATGGCTGGCGGGACTACCATTGTCATCCCCTTGTTATTTTGTTGCTGGGTGGTTTGGAATTTTGCTCGCTTTGCTCTCGCTGCTCGGCGATCACCTTTTCTTCCTCCTGGCCCACCGACAATACCCTTGCTAGGTGAGTTTGTCCGTTCCTGCCTGCAGCAGCGACTCATACCAACATATCATTGAAAGGCAACCTACACCAACTGCCTGCCAGCAAGGCTTTCCTTAGGTAACCTGAAGATGCATTGATCCATAGTGCCAGATACATGACTGATCATATCTGTAGATTCCAAGAATGGGCAAAACAATATGGCCCCATAATTTCAGTCAAAACAGGTCCTGGAAACCTCGTCGTCTTGAACTCGGCAAAGGACGTAAAAGAGTAGGCATGCCCGCCACAATGCACCAAGACAAATTTCGTTCAGACTCATTCTTTACAGACTGTTCGATAAGCGCGTCTCCATCTATTCAAGCCGCCCACCAAACCACATCGGCAACGAGCTCATTGCGCGCGACAATGTGCACCTACTCCTGATGCCATACGGGCAAACATGGCGAAACCAGCGCAAGATTTACCAGGCTCTCGTCAGCATCACGGCTGTCCGCTCGCTGCAGCCTATCCAACAGGCAGAGTCCTCCCTGACCATCCACCAACTCGCTCAATCCCCGGCCCGATACTACGACCACATCCGCCGATACTCGACCGGAGTCATTCTCTCTTCGGTGTTTGGCGTCCGCGGGCCCGAGTTTGACCATCCGAACATTACCCGCCTCTACCACGTCCAGGACCAATTCACCGCCATTCTCGAGACGGGCGCAACCGCACCCGTCGACGTCTTTCCATTCCTCAAACGGCTCCCGGATGTCCTCTCCCCCTGGCGTCGCTGGGCGCGCCGGATCCGGGAGGAACAGCGTCAGCTATATTTCGAACTGCTACAGGACGCCAAGGATCGACGGACTCGAGGCGTGCGGCGCGATTGCTTTATGGACCAGTTGCTAGATGAAAGCTTTCGTACAAAGTACGAGCTGGACGATGAGCATATTGCGTATATTGGTGGGGTCCTAATGGAGGGTGGGTCGGACACGACTGCGTCCACGCTGCTTTCGTTCCTACTCGCCATGACCAAGTACCCCAGGGTCTTTCGGAAAGCGCAGGAGCAAGTGGACAGTGTGTGTGGGACAGAACACTCCCCTGATTTTGAGCATATCGCGCAGTTACCTTATGTGAAACACTGTGTCTCTGAAGTAAGCGCCCCCCGCTCGCTATCTTCCGCTGCTACGATAATTTCAGTCACTAACACGGTGCAGGTCCTACGCTGGAGGCCAGTGGCTGCAGGAGGCATTCCGCATGTTTTGGTTCAAGGTAACCCCCATCTCTTTGACGGAGAAAACATGCAAACAACTATCTAAATGGCCCCACAGATGATGAATACGAAGGATACCACTTCCCCGCGGGGACGACCTTTCTAGCAAACGCATGGTACAGCGGCATACACTCGAAGTGCCCTCCCATCCACTGCAGTGTCGCTAACTTCCCGCAGGGCAATCCACAACGATCCAGAACTATACGACAGACCAGACGAGTTCCTCCCAGAACGCTACGAACAGACCCCCCTCGGCTTCAAGCCAGACGTCGCCGACGCAACGGCGGACGGCATCCGTAAGACGTACGCATTCGGCGCAGGGAGGCGTATTTGTCCCGGTTCACATCTGGCGGAAAGCTCCCTGGTACGACTCGAGTGCCCCGTTCCCGTTCCCGTTTCTGTTCCTTCCGCTTACGGTTTTGCCGAACGACTGTGCAGACGCTAGCTAACAAAGCCGCAGGACATCAACATTGCAAAGATCATCTGGGCATTCGACATTGGGCCCGGGACTGATCAAGCAACTGGACGGCAGATGGGAGTGGAGGATGTCAATGTCGATATCGCGACGCAGTGGACAGACGGTTTCCTCATTGCGCCGAAGCCGTTTCCGATTCGTCTGTCAGTTCGCTCGGAGAAGCATCGGGAGGTGTTGGATCGGGAGCTCGAGGGGGCTCAGAAGATCTTTGACTCTTACGAGGAGTAGCTAGATGGGGTGTTTTATACCTGGGTTGGAGGGTGAGGGGTGCAGATTTGAGGGTTGGTCCAGTATATATGTACTTACGGCAGAAGTCTCTAGTCGATATACGATCTAATTTGTGCGACGAGCTTCGGTCTCTGCTTCTTTCTTGAGGTATTGCCCATCTCAGACGAGAATACGCCGCTACCTAGGAGTGCAGCTGAAAAAAAGAAAGAGAGTTTAAGCTAATCCCATGGTCCGAGGTACAGATCACAACTCCAAGTCCGCAGTCCGAAACATGGCAGCCTTTTGGACTTTAATATTTCACCAGATGACGCCAACTGGGAGCTCTGGCGCTGAGAAATTCAAGAGGGAGCCGGTATCTATAAGACAAACAAATAACCCTTTTGTATATGATCCCGTATGAAATCTGGGCTTTTCCTATTGCGTATTTAGAAACTTGGAGCTCACTATACCCGCGATATTGTTGCCCCTTGGCCTCAGCCGCTACTGGCAGGCTAGGGGCCTACTGGCACTTGATGATCATTTGGTGAAAAAGAATCTTTACTTTGGTTAATATGACAAATGCAAATTACGTCTGTATATACACTCTCAGGAAATGAGAGGTCGAAAAGACAACACATTATGACACTCCTCTTGATCCGACCAGGGAATCGGAATCGAGGTCACGGAGGGTTTGGTTAGGGATGCGGCAGCAGGGGAACGAGACTATGCATAGAGGAAGTAGGTAGTCTTTAATTCTCTATGCTGATAAAATCAGTCCTTGTGTTGCCTCGTTCTAAAGATGACAGTAGGGCCAAGAGAAAAAAAATACGATCTACACCAGAAGACCACCATCAACAGTATGGACACTCCCAGTAACAAAAGAGCTCGCGCCGCTTAGCAAAAACAACGCAAGATGAGCTACCTCGTCAGGTTCAGCTGCGCGGCGAAGCGGAGTATGGGCAATAGCCCCGACCATAAAGGCTTCACCGGCAGGGGAATCAAGGATCATGGGCGTCTTGATAATGCCACTGTGCCGGAGGACGGGCGGGTTTTCAGGGAGCAATTAGCGGGATGTCCTTTCTCCTGGCGCTGGAGACTGGCGCGGGCCGGGGATGAAATGGATGTCAATGAACTCACGGGGCAATTCCTACTATCCTGATCCTGAAGATCGCGGTTTCCTTTGCGGCTGAGCGGATTAAGCCCACAATCCCAAACTTTGCGGCCGAATAGGCTGCGCCGTTCTCTGTCCCTATCAGGCCACCGACCGACGCGACGACAACAATCGAACCCCTGGTTTGGCTCGCCTTCATTGCGCGCACTTGCTGCTTGACACAGTTCATTGTGCCTGTAAGATTAATGCCAATGGTAGTGTCCCACTCCTCATCTGGTGTCTCGAGAAGAGGCCTGACACCATGGGATGGAGTCGCTGCCCCAGCCGCATTAAAGCTCCCGGAAACAGTGCCCAGCTTCTCTTCGGTGTAAGCAATCCATCGAGAAACAGCCGGCCGGTCACGAATAGACCTCGCCATGACCCGGACCGTGGGTCCCTTCTCGCGACCCTTGACCCGCCCCTCCGGAGGGGGGGTCGTAGGCTGACGACCCTCACCGCACCTGAGGGTCATAAAATCTTTGGAGGGTCACCCGCCAAGTTACCCTCACGACCCGCATATGCATAAATTCTTCACACCTTCCCTGATTAGGATGGATAAATTTGCTGACAGATAGCAATAAATTACTGTTTCTTATACCTGTTTCGTCTGTCACACACTTAATTCATCTTTTTCTATCCGACCCCTGTGTATTTTTATGAAATATGTCTTCAGGTCTTCTTGCTTGGTAATACTCAATTGACAGATTCTCAGGTCTAAGGGAGACCGTTGTGGTATGTATTGTAAAGAATTGGAGAGATTGGCAAATCACGATGTGGAAATATATATTTTGAGTGCAGAACGTAGTCGCACCGCAATCCAGAGACGGCTAACATTTTTCTGGATATAACCTAAAACCACTGGAAATCCTGACTTCATTGTATTTGATATATTGTATTCACTCTCTAAACACTTATGCTACGCTAAAATTAAGCAGAATATGTCGATTAAGTTCAATTATGTGACTCCAGAGTTCTAGGGTCCTAAGGGCGACCCTCACGACCCTCAGGGTGACCCTCACGACCCTCAGGGTGACCCTCACGACCCTCAAAGTGACCCTCATAACCCTCAGGGTGACCCTCATAATCCTTGTTCTAGCCAATTAGTATCGGTAGTATCAAATATGATATATCACCTTTTCTCCTTTGTTTGCGAAGTAGACCCTTGTCTACAAGACTCAACTACCCCTGAGTTCTTTACTGAATAGCACAAGAGATCGAGGTAAGACTTTTCTTCTCCTAACCATCTTCATAATGTCCCAGTTCTCTGATAACTTTTCATCTGCTTATGGGGGTCCTCCCTCGGATTTTCTTGAATATATTGCTAATGATAGTTCAAATCAGCTTTACTCCTCTATCCCATCTGGAAGTCAAACTACCTCCCTTCCCTCGTCTCTACATCGAGCGGCACCTGATTGTCTTCCACGGATTTGCCCCGATCGGATCAGATCGTACATCTTATACTCACCGGAAATGGGTAGCGAATTCGTGCAGTGGTGACTTCATACCGATTTTGGCCAAAAGAAACAGATATCTTGGGATACAAAACGAGCTGCCCAGTGCTGGAAAAACTTTGACCAAGTCGCGTTTGAAAAAGATGGAAAGCCTGGGGTTATGTGCCATCAATGTCGGAAGGTGCTTGATCACCCTGGCTGGGCTCATTCAGGGACGACCTCAATGAATAAGCACTATAATGGGGTAAATTGCCGAAAAGCTGCCTCAGCTGCAGGGAAGAAACCAAATATCAAGCTTGCATTAGAGCATGCGGTATAGATAAGACCTAACTCTAACCGTGACGATCCTAAATCTGACCTCGACGTTTAGGCGCAGAATGCGACGGTACGAAGATTCGATGAGCGAGTTTGGCAGCAGAAGCTTGCTAAGCTTCTTGCTGTATCGCATCTCCCCTTTCTGTTTCTCGAGCACACCGAGTTCCGTGATCTTATCTCCTACGCGCGGCTAGACCTCCGCAAAGCCCATAAATGGGCCCGACCTTTAGGCCCATAGCCCAACCAGCAGTGGGCTGTTGGCCTAACCTCTATAGCCCGCCCCAACCCATAGTCCATGAGTGGGGGCCCATGAGGCCCCCAATATAGCCCATTTCTATGCATAACTACGATCTTGGCGCTCATAAAACCGCTGATTAATGCCTGTTTTTTACGCATGTTCCAGTCTGTAAGCCTTTACAAGGCATACATCGGCCCGACGTTTTACCAGGCCTGATCTAGTATTTCAACTCCCAATCCGGGGGTTCAACTCCCCCAAGAATCAAGATCTCAAGATCCAACGGCGACGACATAGTAATTAAGGTCGTAGATGAAGCCAGCTACAGTAGGCACTATAGTTTACCGGCGTCATCCAAAAAACAATCCAATTTCACCAAGTTTTCGTAGTATTCTGGTACTTAGAGAGTTCCAAAGTGTCAACATGTAGAGATATATATCTCATATAATTAGAAGTAGGTGCATGTTTCTGTTGAACTGTAGATTCAAGGGTCAAATCTATGAATTATAGGTTTATAGAGTTGAAATTTATACCAAAAGATAGCCAATCTCTCAGACTTAACGTCTGTCTTCACAGAAACGTAATATTCTGGGGATTACAGAGATGAGAGAGGTTTGAAGATATCTCATGAGCCATGGGGTGAAATGTTTTGGGCGAACAAATTGTAAAATGGGCGGGGAGATGGGTTATCCATGGACTTTTCTTGGGCTTTGGATGGGCTGAATTCACTGCATATGCATGATCTAGCCAATCAGATGCTAGAATCAAGATATTCCGTTTTAATGTCGACTGCTACGGTGATCTCTGTTTACAATATCTGTTTGCTACGGCGTCGATACGTCGACAGTTCTCTCACTAAGAAGGTATGTCGATCTCTTCCTCCTGAAGCTATTCCCCTGAAGCCCTTCATCCAATTTTGAACCTACTATCAAGTTGTCATCCTGATCATGTCGCAAAGCCAGGAGTTTAGATTCTCCCAGTTGGGCCTGTTCGACACTGAGCCCGACAATTCGTCAATTGCTACGCCTTCTCTTTGCCCAGCTACTCCGTCCACCTCTCGGCAGGTTGATAGCTTCTCGTTCGTTGAGCCGTCTGTTCCTTCGTCTATCGCCCTAGATCCCCTTGAACGCTTCCAACGTGTCGGTCCTGGTAGGAGAGGAGGCCAGTTTTTCCTTTACGACGCGATGAATCACACTGATTGGGTCAACTGGTGGTTGGAGACTGACTATGGATCTAAAAACAAGATCGCTTGGGAGTCACAGCATGGCTCCGCTTCGGAGACCTGGAAACAGTTTGAGCAAGTGGCCCATACGGCGACTGGAAACCCAAAGGTCTTGTGTAAGCGTTGCGATGCAATTCTTGAGCACCCTTATACTACTAAGAAGGATGCCAATGGGAGGGTTGGTCGTCATGGCACGACAACAATTACCCGTCATCTTCAGACCTCAGCCTGCCAAAAGGCTACAAGTGGACGCCGGCAGAGGGCTGAATTGACGAGGTTCCTTCAAACGGTATACTATCATACCTAGCTCTACTAGACCCTACTAACTAGCATCATGATCAGGGTAGTCATAGCCAGACATTCTCGCAAGAAGGTTTTGAGAGTAAAATCTTGGAGTTTATTACTACTAACCGGCTTCCATTCCAAATCGTTGAAAATCCAGCATTTCGTGAGCTCATCGCAGAGGTAAGTCCGTCAGACGCCAGTCCGTAGGCGTCAAATCGCCCAAATCCTCCAAATCCGCCGTCTTTACCAATCAGCCTCTATTTGCCTCGTCACCTAACTAAATCTTAAGTCTTGAATCTAGGCACAATCCGCCCTAAGCCCTCCGATCGTGCCCTCCGCTGATACAATTCGACGTCGCCTGTCTGGCCGTGTTAAAGAACGACAGCATGATACACTCAGAATGCTTCCAGAACATGCAAAGATCTCGATTGCGTTAGACTGTTGGACATCTCCATTTCAGCAGGCATTTATGGCTATTACTGGCTATTTCATCGATGCCGAATGGGTCTACCGTGAGGTGCTACTCGGCTTTAAACCCCTTCATAGTTCGCATACAGGTGCAAACCTAAGTGCTATTCTGATGGAGACGCTTACCGAACATGGCATTAAGGACCGAGTCTTTGGAATAACCACCGATAACGCATCGAATAATGAGACTCTGGTTAAGGCACTACAACAGTCTTTACAACAAGAGCCTTCGGCTTCGGCTACTGGTTTTAACGTCATCCGGGTCCCCTGTCTCGCTCATGTCATCCAATTAAGTCTGAACCAACTACTTCACCGACTTAAAGCACGCCCAAAGAATGAACAAGCCGAGACTGTCTGGACAGAGGAACAACAGATTAGCCTTGCTAAGGCGAATGCGGAGGCCAGGTCTAAGAAACGGGACATTGCGCATACCTTAGAGGATACGATCTCTTGCTGTTTATATCCGCGGGAGCCCTCAGCGTCGAGATCACTTCCTCAAAGTCCAACACGACCTCGACAAAGGCCAAGGCAAAGTTCCAGGGCAAGGACTTATGCCGATCCAGGACGTCAAAACTCGATGGAATTCAACGTTTCTGATGCTACGCCGGGCGAAGAGGCTCCGTACTGCTATCAATGAATACTGTCGTCAGTTCAACTGTACAGAATTCGAACTTGATGATGAACAATGGCGCCAAATTGACTATCTGATCTATCTCACAAAGCCATTCTTTGACTTTACGCTCGCCCTTTCGAAGACACGAGAGGCGACGTCGTTTCTTGTCTTCAGGATCTATAACCAGCTCTTTGAACACCTTGAGAAGTGCAAGTCGCAGCTACAACGAAAACGTGTTCCATGGAAACAGCAGATGCTTACCTCCCTCGGAGCAAGCCATTCAAAACTGTCGGAGTACTATAAGAAGACGGATCATATGCGCGGGCATATCTATGCGGTTTGTACGATGCTATCGCCGGATAGTAGATTCCAGTTCTTTTTATCTGATAACTGGGAGGATGCCAAAGAGATCCGTGAGCAGTATCGAGTGGCTTTCCGTGAGGCACTTACTCCTATCCAGGAGCGTCTTACTACTTTAAATAGCCCGCAAGTGTCTTCCTCTGGATCGATGCCAAGATCCTTCCTTCTTGGCCTGATGGCTCCCCCGAAGTCTCTCTCCAAACGCAAAGGCAAAGCTGGTAAAGCAACGCTAGGCCCGACT